TTATTTTATTTTAATTTATTTTGTTTTATTTCATTTTAATTTAATTTTTCATACAAATATTAAGTAAACTAAAGGCCTGTTTGTAGAAGTGACAGCTGTTTCGGAGATCACCACATCTCCTCATCAGACTTTTTATGGGATTGAACTAACGGATCCTGACTTGATTTTGTTTTCATTTAATTCAATATTTTTTTAAATTTATTTTATTTTATTATATATTATTTTATGTTAATTTATTTTACTTTGCTTTAATTGATTTAAATTTTTTTTATATTATATATTTGATTTATTTTATTTCACATTATTTTATTTATTTTGTTTAGTTAAATATATTTTTTTATTCATATTTATTTCACTTCTGCCTGTATTTGAAGCACGCGTTGCATTGACCAATAAGCGTGTAATGGCAAATATCAATTGCACTGTTAATGAGTTTCAATTATCTGGTTTTATATTAAAAAAACCGGCGCTTCTATAAGCTGATTATATTTTAATTAACAATGCAGCTCTATTGATATATGATATATCATTTAATTCAATTTTGAACAAATTTCACTTTATTGAAAATGTAATGAATGTACACATATGTATATACATACATAATAGTATGACAATTTTAATTTAAAAGTGATATAAAAAATGCTATCAACGGCTGCTGCGATTAAGTCCATCCAAACTAGTTTGCATCTCAACTAATGTCTAATTACCTTTCATTTAAAGTGAAGTGCAGTCAAACACACACGCACATACATATTATTATTTGTAATTCAAAGGAAGGCGCACCTGTAACTTTGCACTTCCACACATAAACGTAGGATTAAACGTCGCTAGAAAATGACGGATACGTGTCTGTGTATTTGAAGAAAAAAAATTACATCAGTCAACTCGTTGAGGCTAAACAGGCGGGAAAACCTTTTCATCTTGGCAAATGTTGTCGCCTTCATTAAAGTACATACTTACTAATTACATACATACATACATATGCACATACATAAATGCATGTCCATATTGGACGGATATTACTTGGAAAGGGAACAGGTTGACTATAAATTAATTTTTTTATGTTGTTATTTTTATTAATTTATCAGCGTTTTACTTTGGAGAAATTCAATAAGTGATTTGTTTTTTTTTTTTTTAATTGTAATTGTTTCTATGAAACTGTCATTAATGTTCATGATAATGGCAATGACTTTTGAAATTATCGTCCACACTTGATTTATGTTTGCCGGCAACCACAGCGACGGCCATTAGCCACCTACTGTGTGTTAGGTTTTTATTATTTATCCGTGATTGGATAATTCACATGAATTTCACAAGAACTTTCAAACCTTCTCAGTTTCCCTTTGTAACCGCTCTTTTTATGTCGTAGTTTATTAGAGCCCTAGAAGAGTTTGAAATTTGTTAGATGGAAAGGAAACGATGTCCTTATGTGAAGGACTAAAGTCTTTTTTTATGGGAAGTAGATGTTTGGAACTTAGTATATATTTTATATATATTAAGTAAAATCAGGCCTTATCGATTCATTCCTTAAAGATTCGATTTTAAGTTCACTGATGGAGAGCAAGATGGAATTTTTTTGAAGTAAGCCCTCAGCCACATATACTTTTTGATCTAATATCACCCAATTCTCGTTTTCCTTCTTCAAATTTTTTCGTTTAGTACGATTGTACCTATGAAATATGATTTATTTACAGGGAAGGGCGTGAACGTTTAAGAAATGTGTGAACCAAGTTCTATCACGATATCCCAAAACTTATTTGAGTTATGGTATACACGGAAAGCCGGAACGACGAACGGACAGACTGACATGGTTAAAACGATTCGTCTCATCATTCAATTATGTTTTATATGTAGTATATATGTATATTACAATTCCATATAAATCTCGCTTATTGCTCTATTTTGTTGATATTGGACGATGTAAATAATCTTATGGTGATATTGAAATACTTATATGTACATATGTAAAATATTCTTCAAATAAAAATTTTAAATACCCTTCAGAGATGGGTTGACTTTGAGCTTCAACAGTACGCAAGAGAAGGCACAACTTTCAAGTGTCCCGTCTGGCAAAATACTGTTCATATTACTTTCTCCTCTATTTTCCGTTGCATTTCAGAAGCACATCACCCTAACTTCAAAAACCATACCCTATGCCTCTGAGGTGTCAAAGTTCATGTGGATCTTTTTATTACATTTCAAAGATTTTCAACTTTTTAATGGATTAATTAAATACATGGAATCCCTTAAGTGCGAATAATATACAAAAATATAACAGCATCCATACATACTTATGTACATATGTACAAATGCACATATATTTATCATATATCTGCCGGTCACTAAAATCCCACAGCTCTTGTGTTGTAGCTCAAAAGTGCGATGTTGATATGTACATTAATCTGATAAATGATTTAGTATCCAAATAACTTTCCAGCCACTGCAACACGACATAGTTTTGTTGTTGTCTTCTTGAATTGTTTACATTGGTTTGCTGTTCATAATATCCGCACAACACTTGCATACCATCGTCACCAGACTCACGAAGTCAGTTGGAGGAGTTTACATGTGGGCGAGAGCGCGTATGTAGCATAAAACTGCATGGAGCAGGCAAAGCATGTGCTCCCACTGTCTGTTTGTAATGCATTTTTCTTTTTCTTACTCTCCCTCTCTATAGCTCCCACTCTCTCGTAGCACACACTTGCCGTTTGTCATTCATATTTGTATTTTATTCCATTTGCTTCTGTTATCAACAAAATACTCATACACTTGTTTACAGTTATTTAAATATATATGTAATATGTATATAAACATACGTTATTTGTAAATAAAAGCATTTAAGTGTGTGTTAGTATTGCAATGGGGTCATATGTATGTATGTGTATCTCAATCAGCTGATTATTTTTGACGTTTCTATGCAACTGTGGAAGTGTTGAGTTTGTGAAGAGTTTGGTTTGGTGAGAGCGAGAGTTGGCATACATATTCATATGCATTTTTCATAATAAAACACACACTTACCTATGCACATCAACGAATCTGTAAACATGTCAGATTTTGTGTTAATAACATACGCGTACATATGTATGTACACGCATACTGCATGTGTATTATTTCTTATCAGCAAGAGGTCAATGAGAGATTAGCGTGAAAACATGAATCCAAGAAAATCGATTAGAGAATTCTCAAGCAAATTCCCAGTGCATTTATTATGTATTTTTTAGAGCGAAAATTGAGTAAACACAAATTTCTGAAAATATTTTCATCTTGGCACCAATGACTGATTAACACATTCCAAGTATCTCATCAATGTTGTTGTTAATGTTGACTTCTGTGGTGTAGAAAAGCGTCAGTGACCGACGTCAAGAACAACACACAGAAATATACTATATGTATGTATGTACATATAAAAAATATATATAAAAGCAATATTGACAAATATAAATATTTAATACGCTCAATGCGCTCTCTAATTCTGTATTTGTTATTCTCTAATGCGATACCTTGCAACCACCTTGCGCAGTGGAAATTGAACTCCCAAAAGCTCTGCACGTTTTATTTTGTAGTTTTTACTCATATTGCATATGTATACGATTAAATGCTTTTGCTTGTGAGATAGCAGCGAGCTTTACATTTTGGTATGACCAATAAGAGAAAAATTTCAAAGCGTAAGGAGAGAAATTTTGTAAGCAACAACATTTACGAGGCGACTACACTGAACATTTTTTTTGGGCAGTTTGGAGCTAAAAGAAGAATTTAAGCCTTGTTTTTAGTAAAATGTTTTATTTTTTTTAAAGGCTTGAATATTTCAACTTTGCAATACGAAAATTAAAAAATTAACAATAACTTAAAAAAATTAGAGCATTTAGTGTTCTCTGCCAAGAGAATTGTCTTGCGGTGACTTGCGGTAATAAATCTTTGAAAACTATTTTAAAACAAGTTTTTACGAATAGTTTTTCACTGAAGCTTTTCTTAAAAAAAAATCTTAAGAACTTTTCTTTCGATTTTATTACAATAAAAAACCATGCAAAATCAAAAAAAATTTAATAAGTACTTCCCTGTTATTTTCTTACTCAAATTAACAACACTCCCTCAAATTTAACTAAATCATTTCAAGACCACACCTTAAATACGATTTCTCCACATTGATCGGTATTAGGTTCACTACTCGAAAAGAAAAGAATTTTATGTAAATTGAACCGTAAATAATAACAATACAATAATAACAATATAATAAGATTTTGAAGAACCATTTTCTGCTTGTTAATCTAAGCGATAAGATACAATCCTTAGAAATTCTTGGAAACAAAAGTAGTATTGTTGCTAATCTAAGCAAAAGGTACCTACGTACCAAATTTCAAGTAAATTGAACCATAAACGTATTTTTCCTAATAGGTTAGTGGCTGGTTAAGTTCGCGGAGAGTAAAATAATGTTCTTGCTAATATGAGCAAAAGAATTAAATTTCAGGTAAATCAAACCACAAATACTGTTTTTACGAATAGGTACACTTCCCGGTGGGAATAATAATTGTTCGCCGATTCCTTTACCTACCTACGCATACAAAACTTCATAAAAATTGGTCCAGCCGTTTCGGAGGAGTTTGTTTAAAAACACCGTGACACGAGAATTCTATAAAATATATTATATATATCGTCCATATTAAGCATAGTGAGCAAATTTTTTTTTCAGATTCTATAGCTAGATACTGTATACAGTGCCAGGTACTCCTATATTGACTTCTTCAGAAAAAAAACTTTTAAGTAGGGTTTAGGGTTTTGGATTATGTACATATACATATTTTATAGCTTTGATGTTATATTATATATAGGAAATATTAATTGAACGGAATAAAGGCATGAAACAAATATATGTCACAAAATTTACATTAAAAAATATTAATTATTGACCATAATTTTATTAACAGTGTACAATCGTGTAAAACTGCGATGATGTTGCTGCTGTTATCGCCAAAGTACAAATACACAGATAGTAAAGAGTACTCCACACTAAAGCAGAGAGCAGCATACTGAGAGGCGATTCGCCTGGTATTTTCCGCAGTCAAGCCAACTGAAACATATGATGTTGGGCTCAGCAATAATAACAACTACCTTTTGTTAAATCGGCAACATACACACGCACTTGTTATAAACGAGAATCGACAAACAGATACACACAAACATACACACATAGGCAGACGTTATAAGTGGAACGTTGATTCCGCATTTACTATAATATAATATGCACATACATATGTATATAGCTGGCAATATTGCGGTGCTTTTTGACCAAGCGAAAAATCATAGGCCAAACAGTTGATATCGGAACTTGACAGCATTTGGTTGTGTGAAGCGCGTGCTTGAAACGTTTGTTGTACGAACGACAACAACTTAACGTTTTTCCATACCTACGTGCAATCGTTTGTACGAGTACGTGCATACTTATACTTACGCTACGAAATGAGTGCGGGCATATTACAAATTCACAAATGAAACTAAAATAAACTCTCGAAACGACAAGTGAATGCGCGCGCGATTCCTCTCTCAAATTTTCTTACTTTCCGCCGATGAGTGGTTAGTTTTTGTTTTATTTTTTTTCGTTTTGGTTAGTACGCAGTGTTGTGCTACAAATACAAACTCGGTGAATTCTGCTAAAACAACGAAAAATATATATTTTAATTTGGTGAATTTTTAGGTTGTTCGGCGGTGGAAAAAAGTGAAAGAATTGTGTGTGAAAAAGTGGAAATTGGCACATTTATTAGTTGACAACAAAGAAATGGTACATAAATACATATGTAGATATATATGTGTAAATGAAATTTTGGTAAAAAATATAAATTAGCAACGTAGAGAAATTGAAGCGGAAAGACGCTAAGAGGCTGTGTGCAGGCGAAAAAAGTTGAGTGGCGTAGATCTGTTAGACAAAAATTTATTGCTTATTGACAAGGCAGACACATTTATAGCATGAAAAAGACGTCACAAGTGGCTTGGTGCTTAAAACAAAATGTGAAATATTAAAAATAAAATTTGAAAAACATATAAAAAACACAGAAATTATCTAAAAAAGTTGAGAAAATATAAAAAAAATAGATTAAAAAATAAATATTAAAAAATAATAATAAAAAAAAAAATTAAAATTAAAAAGATTTCTAAAAAAAATTTAGCTTACGGCCATAAGGCTCTTCCTTAATTGGATGCCTTATTATTGCTATTTTTCTGCTTTTTATTTCCTACAACTGGCATTATTATTCTTATTTTTTATTTGCATCTATTTTTGTGCACTTGTATATACATATGTTTTGTCTATAACTGCCGTATGACCCAAAAGTTTCTTCTTTCTTTTTCGTCAGCTTGAGAAAGTTCGCTGCCCACTTAATATTGGTGAAAATTTTCGCTCTAAAGTAAACAACTCACCAACCAGATTTTTAAGAATAAATTTCTGCTTGTTTTTTCAATGTATACATCATTGTAAAATGCTGCAAACAATAATAACAATTAGCAACAAATCAAAGAAAAAGTTGTAACAATAAGCAATTTAATCGTTTGTGCAAACCCGTGAATGAGCTAGTGAAACCAACCAAAAATAAACTTTTGTTTTGTAAGAATTCTTTGCGCTGTTTTCAATGGTAGCTTTGGTGACAAGCAAACAGTAAAAATCGCAAAAAAAAAAAAATAAAAATGTTTGGCAAAAAACGCAAGCAACACAAGTTGGCATAAGTGCCTTCAGCACAGCAAGACAAGTGAAATCAGCGTCAAGCAAAGACGAAAAATTAAATTAGCACAAAACAACATTTACTTTAAATTGTAAATTGTGGCGATTTTATTTATTTGTATTTTTATTTTTAATTTATTTTTTTATTTTCCTCATTTTTTTCATTCTCTTCCCCAAACATTTTGCTGCTATGCTTCTTCTTCATTAATCACTTTTCTAATTTTACACGAAAGTTTACTATTTTTTTTTGGTGTGTTTACATTGGGTGGTTCAATACTGTGAATGGGTGTCACTGCCTGCAAAGCAATTGCCGCCGCCGTCGCCACTGCCACTGTCACTGCCACTGTCAACATTTGATGGCAAGCAGTGTGGCTGCTGAATCGTATGTCAGACCCCAAGTGTATGTGTAGGTGTTTTTTTTTGTTGCATTGACTTTTGTTGTTATGGTTTTCAGCTTTTTCGCCATTCATATTTAATCGTAGCGAAAGAAATCGATGGGCATTGAGTGTGCTTGGCTGGTGCTTGGCATATATACATACGTACATACATATGTATATATAAATGGGAGACAGGTAGCAGCAAGAAAACAAAAACAAAAAGTGAAAAATATGTAAATATTTAAATAACAAAAGTTTCAAATACAAAAAAATCAGTAGTGAAAAGTGATAGTAACAAAGAAAAAATTAATTAAAAAATAAATAAAAATAATTACTTAAAAATATTTTCAGCATGCATATTTCTTCAGTTAATTAATAAAATTGCTATGAATTACAATACAAACAATCACCTGCCCATGCACTGCCCCACACAACTTGTTTACTGTGGTCACTAATGGTACATATGTCAATATGTATAAGTAAATATGTGCATAATAATTCAGCTCGTGTTATTTTTAGCAACTATCATACTCACATGCTAACATACAATTTGTGAAAATAACACTAATTCAGTGTTTTCTTCTATACATATGTATGTACAATACATATATTAAATGTTTGTATGTACCGATTTACACTCGCTTAGCCGCACAGGCTTTGTTATTGTCGTCGACCGCGTCTTATCAATTATCCAATAAATGCCAGTGCCACCGGTCATCAGTGCCAACAACAGTAACAACAACAAGAACAACAATAAACCGGCAGACAAGTGAATGTTTTTATGCATTTAAGCTACTCAAACAATATATGTACGCCGAGGCAAAAAAAAAAAATTAAAATTTATTTGTATGTCTATGCCTTCATTTAGTGGCATTCAGTAGACGAAAGCAGCACGGACAGGCATATCGCTGATTGACAGACAGACAAGTAAAGCGACTTAATAATTTTTCTCTTGTGATGCTGATAAAAATATTTAATATTTAATGCCGTTTTGCTAGCAAGATTGTGGCAAATGGTTACACGCATACATATGTATGTACAATACTTACATGCTGTACGTGCAAAGTGTTCGCACAAATCATATTTTCTTCGTAGGTGCATAACCATGTTATCGATTTTGGCTATAATAATAATTCATATGAATTTATTATCTCACTTAGGTGTCTACTTTCGCTAGAAATTCAATATTTTATCACAAGAAAATTTTCTTATTTTATATTGGAAAATTGTGTGGGTCTCAAAAATAATTATCATGTCTGATAAGACCGTTGTTGTCACATTTTTTTGTCTCCAAATTTGTGTATGAACACGTCCAAAGCCTCATTGTTTTTTGGTAACATCAACTGAGGTCTTCACTACAAGTGTTCTAGATTCGAAAATTTTTTTTTAAAATTTCCTTAGAAAGCAATTAATGCATTTATAAAAAATATTTATGATTTCTTTTTAATTTTTTTTTTACTCATCACTTCATATCCGACAATTTTGTTTATTAACATATCCATTAAACCTTCTGGAGCTTCTTAGCATAAAAATTTTCTTGTGAAAACCCGGATCGTTGGGAATCTTGTTTTCGGTTCATTTACCGAACGTGATTGATGTTCGTTCGGCTTAAATTCTTGCACGAGTTGGATTTTGTAAGGTCGCAAAGCTCCAAAAAGTGAATGGACATAACTTCAAATGTTGCGCGATGGTGGATGGATTCACTCAGGCCTTCTTTGCAGCAATATTGTCTTCGCTGCGCACTGTACGGTGTCTCTGAGAATGCGCATTATTCACTAGAGTAAACGTGGTAGTCAACCCCTCCGAGTATATCTCTCTGACATGAATTAAAGGCTTCTCATAAAATACAATCTACCGATCGGTGGAGGCTTGGTGTAGGTCTCTCCATTTGTTGGAAAAACAGCAAGACGCAAAATCACAAAGCGCCAATTATATTTTATACACATATGTTTATATACATATATTATAAAGGGTGGAGCTATAGGAAAATTTTTCAAAAAAAAAAAAAAAAAACAAATAAAATTCAGAAAAATTCATGAATTCTATATTTGACTCGATAGTACGGTCCATATAATCTAATGCTTGAAGATCATTTCATGCAAATGTTGACCGTGACTGGGCATCAAATGGTCCCACCACTTAGGCCAATTTTGGCATACTCTTTCCAACATTTCGGCCGGTATCTCAATAAATAAATGCTTCAATGTTGTCTTCCAAAGCGTCAATTGAAGCTGTCTGTATAGACATTAGATTTAATACAACCCCACAAAAAATAGTCCAAAGGCGTTAAATCGCACGATATAGGCGGCTCATTGACAGATCCCGAACGTGAAATAAAATGTTCAACGACCTCGCCACTCAATAAGTCAATTGTTACGCGTGGTGTGTGGCATGTGGCACCGTCTTGTTGAAACCACATGTCATGCAAGTAAAGCTCATGCATTTTGGGCAAAAAAAAGTTTGATATCATCTCACGGCAGCGCTCATCAGTCACAGTTACGTTACGATTCGCATCATCTTTGAAGTATTGTACAAGACGGTCCAATGATGCCACCAGCCCTTAAACCATACCAAACTGTGACTTTTGCTGAATGCATTGGTAGCTCTTGCAATGCTTCTGGCTGATCTTCACTCCAAAATCGACAATACTGCTTATTTACGTTCCCACTAAGCCAAAAATGAGCTTCGTTGCTGAATACAATGCTGATGGAAGAAGAGCGCGATGAACTTTCTTAACAGAGCACGCATTTCGTTTAATAATTTGCAAGCGGTCTTCGTTTGTAAGACAATCCATTGTTAAATTATAAAAATGGAGATGTTTGATAGTGAAACAAAACACGAAACATGCGTCAGCTGTTCAAACCAGTGTTGCCAAAAAGATAATAGCTAAAAAATCAGCCTTTATAATTTATGAATGAAAACCGTTAAAACTATCGCGATGCTATTTAACGATCCGTAAATCGTTGAGTTATAACTAGTGAATCCCCCACTTTGAGTTAAAGGCCTGCACATGAAGAATGGTACACATTCCTAGTAATTGCTGCTCCTATTGGTTCTTTTCTGCTTCGCATACAGGCTCGTACATATAAATCACATACCTTTAGATATTTTAAATTATTTTTATTTTATGCAAATTTATATACACGTACTTACATATTTATATTTAAATTAATGTATACAAAGAAATATGTAAAATATAAAATAATTCTGTAGTAAGTAAACATACATCTGCCTAATCAGACAGTCGCTTTACTACAAGTATGCATATTCACTGATTTAGTTTGAGCACTTATTTTTATGATTATATAAATACTTGAATGCATTGCTGGGCTTGTAAATTCCCTGTAATTTCTTTCTTCTTTTTTCATTTTTTTCAAATTATAAATATATGTGTATGTATGTTTGTTCGTGCACACGATTTGCAAATTTTCTGCAATCAATTGCAATGCACGGTGCATGCATGTCATACAAACCTACATATTATATATATATACAGTATTGAGCGAAAGTCACGCAGTCGCCCTCAAGGGGTTTCAAATAACAGTCAGCTATGGAGGCAGATGTATTTTGGTCTAGAGTCGCTGCTCTGACCGAGATATTGGTTCCAATTATGGAATAGGCGTAATAAGAGCAAACAACTTAGGTGACTTAAGACGTAAAATGGGCAGTAAATGTCATAAGGGTGGATATGCCAACAGTATAACCGCACGAAATCTCTTCCTAGGTACTCTAAAGTCTGGTGGTACAATAAAATTCTTACCAGATCAAAGTTTATTTCCCCTAATCTTTCCATTTCAATCCGACTGAGAAGCTTTTTGCGGACTGTGATTTCGAAAATTCATAGCAAAAATAGTAAAAAAATAAGAATGTAAAGTTTGCGGTTGCCAAAGAAACTTGGTTCAATATGTTGCTGGAAGTTATTGATAACGAGGTTTCTTTGAAGCTAAAGAGATGTGCTGAAGCCAAAAGAAATACAGAGTTTTCCAATGAGAGGTATTATTTTGATATTAAAATAAAAATGGAATTTCTTAAGAAAATTGATCGGAAAATTAAAGGAATAAATTAAATTAATTAAAAAGAATTTCAGCATAATAACGGCCATGGCTACGCTTACACCACCGCAACCTTTTTATGAAATTTTCCATCACCAAAACTCAAAATGGCTGCTGTATGCACTGAATAGCTTCACAAATTCCATTTTCGAGATCTTGAATTGACGTTGGCCTGCTGGCGTAGATTTGATCTTTCAGGTGGCCCCAAAGGAAGATGTTGCAAGGTGTTAGATCACAAGATCTCTGTGGGCAATTGCAATCACCTCTTCGAGAGCTAACAAGATACGGAAAATATTCTCTTTAAAAGATTCGTTGTAGCACGTAGCGCAGTCTTGTTGAAAGTAAATGTTGTCCAGCTCAATATATTACAATGTCGAAACAAAAAAAATTAAACTTCTCCCGATAGCGCAATCTATTCTCCTCAACTGTTGCTCCAGCCTTTTTTTCGAAAAGGTAAGAACCAATGACAATGACCGCCAGATTAGAAACCGCACCAAATAGTTACGCGTTGTGATTGGAGAGGCTTTTTAGCAATAAATTATGGGTTTTCGGATTACCAGTTGCGACAGGTTTGCTTACTGACGTAGCCATTGAGCTGTGCCTCATCAATCAAATTAATTTTTCGTTGAAATTCCGGTTCGTTTTCATGCATTTCAAGGATCCAATCAACAAAGACGGGATGTTCTTGATGATCGACCGGCTTGAGTTCTTATTTTAACTGAACTTTATAAGTCTTCAGACTGAAGTCTTTATGCAAGAACGGTGTAATCACGCCCAATTCGAAAGAATAGTGGACACACCTGACGTCAACAATGTTCTCAGTTGTTCTTAAAAACACAGCGTATACTTTACTGCAGAATTTGGAGTGATTTCATTGAGTGATTTGGCTTCTTCTGAAACACCTTGAGAGTGGTGCTTTAGTTTTGGCCAATACTGTATGCACATATATATGTACATATGTACACTTTTATACCTACTCATATTATTGCTGTTGTTGCATTCTAATTTGTTTGGCGTAGTTGCATAGTTACACACAAAGCTACATATTATTATAAATATTTATTGCAAGAGCAGAAAAAATATGTTTCTCTCTTAAATTTCTCTTAAAATTAAGAAGATTTTTTTTCTTATATATTTTTTGTAAATATGTATGAGTTAGTGTGCGTTTTTTAGCATACAAATTCTTGTTATCAATACAATGACCAAACGATCGACCTTTATTACGTCTCATCGCGCCACACATATATATAACAAATACCTAACGACATCACTAACTAGATCGCTTGCGTGGTTGCTGTCTTCGTTGTCCCATTTATTACTCATGAACGGTGTTTAGTGTTTTTTGTTATTGTTGTTGCATATAAAATCATTATCAAATAATCCATTGTTGGTTGCTTCTCTTTAACTATGAATTTTTAATGCATTATTTTGTATTTTTTTTATTTTTTATTTTTCTTTGCTGGTGGATTTTACGATGTGCCGTTGCTTTGCGGCATTTTTCGTTGTTTTTGTTTTTTATAACGTTTATTTGTTAAAATGTCAATGGCTTTCAGTGATGGAGCAAAGTTTAATTTCAAAGACGCGTCTAAGATAAGAAATCAACGCCTTGCAATTATCATAAGATTTGGGTCGAAATGCAGAAAAGAAGAATAAGAAGAGGAAGATAATTGAACAAAAGTCAAAGATGAAGTAGAAGAACTTTGAAAGGGTTTCGAAACCCGTTTAACTGTCTTTATTTCATTGATATGAAAATAAAAAGGAAATATGATCTGCTCACACGCCACTCCTTCTTTACGTTCGCGTGCACATGATTATCTGGCGTTTTATGTATGTATGTAAATAAATACATATGTATATGCTGTGTATATATTTATTGTATGGATAGAGTGTGGAAAAAATACGAGATATAGCAAGTGTAATATTTATTTGTATTTTAGCGATAAGTGTGTATGCAAATACACACACGCACATATATATATATACAATACAAAAAAAACATAAATAAACGTATAAATAAAAACCTGTGTGTGTGGGAGTGTGTGTGTGTGCGCGTATTTGCAACGTTGGAAAATGTTTAATATTTTAATTCGCACACAGCAGCCGTAATTAAATTAACAGCAGCATCAACAACAATAACAACATTGTGCAGCAGCAGCAGCCAGTTATAAAATGATTGAGTGCCCCTGAAATCGTGTTTATGAATTGATTACGTTAAAATAGAGAATAATCATTGTTATTAAAAAGCAAATAAAAAACAAAAAAAAAAATAAAAATATATATAAAAATACATGAAAAATAATAAATAAATAAAAATTAAATTACTTTTGTACATACCCGTATGTACATTCTTCATTATCAGTGTTTGTCGCAAGTTGAAGCTCCTACTGTACATGCATACATATGTACATATGTACACAATATATATTTCGCATAAGCAAATCAGTGGAAATTGCAATTATTCAACAAGTGTTAATCAAATTAGTTAGACATTGGCAGAATTTCAACAAAAACGCCAGTACTGCAGAGCGTTCGCTGGTTTGGAAATTTATTGGAAATCCTTATAATTGAAAAGGTAAGTTTGCTTTTCATTATTATTACGGAAATATATTACAGATTAAGTAGAAATATATGTGGGGTTACTTTATTAATTTTAAAATTTACAGTTTATTTTAAGTAATCTTTTAAAATCAATATTTATTTTTTACACAATTCTGATCAACGATAAACGTTCGTGTCTGTTCGTGGTCGCGTAGTGACTATCGTTTTTGTTCAGTTCGTTCGTTAGTTCAAATTTATGTCCGGGTTTACGTGTTGTCAGTAGCAGCGTTGTATTCGGCTGCCAAAGGTACTTTCTAATGTCCTAATGTCCTGCCCACACGTTCCCAAAGATATGTATGTATATATATATTCGAGTATAAAAAGCTTTGGCCACTGATGGTAGAGAACTGAAACTTGAAGAGTGTGCTCTAAGAAATGATATTTCGATCGATCTTATTTTTATTTCGTTTACATGAAATTTAGTGCATGGTTAGTCTCTTACTTACTCTTTCTTCCGCGAATTAGACATTCGACCGATATGCTAAATTTTTTGTTTTAAGCCTTTTTCTTCCGGGAAGTTCAGCTGAGACCGATCTGTTGAAATAAATCGTAGATTTAAATGTTTGCTTTCAACATACTTAAATTTCTAAACAAGTATTTAAGTGGCTTAAGAATCGATTAAGTTGAATAGATTGCTGGCTATCAGCTGAATTAGGCCGCCAAACGGGCCTATTGTGATGTCACTGAGAATCCCAATAAATTGAAGTCAAAGCAATGTGAGGAGTTTGCAAAACTAAGCAATGGTCGCCCATACAATATTTCTTTGCATCCGCTGTTTCGATAAAGTCTCTAAACGATGGCTCCCCTAGAGACTTCAACCTTCTCTTACAAACAGTGGGAGATTCACAAAGGCGCCTTAAGGGGCAGTAGTCGTCCGAAAGTGAGTCCAACCTCTCTCCGACCATCTTTAATCCCATGCTGGCTACATTATACTAGTCACATTGCATTATTCAGTTATCATCTTTGTTGAATAACTCACATGACGAAAGTGGAAACTGTCCTTCTTTGCAAGCTTGTTCATTCACCCATGTCAGGTTGATAAAGATCTACTTAACCCTCACGCTATATGAGCGAAGGCAGCTCTCTACTACGATTTCATTGTTACAGTTTCCAGAGCACTTAATGCGGTCTGGTTATCCGAAAAGAAACAAATACGACTTTCAGAGAGCACCAAGGCTCTTAGAAAATTGATAGTCTCATGTGTAGCCTCTAGTTCCGTCCAAAAAGATAGAGATGATCCGCCGAAGGAAAACATTTGTTAATAGCCGACTGTGTAATCTGATTTTGACTCTTTCGTATAAAAATGAATCGAGTCTACATTTGCTGATACTATTTGGTTTCTATCCATGATAATTGTCTTGCAATCTGTGATGAAGTCAATAAAGGAGTATATCCAAGAGGATATTTATAGTCTCGCTCTACTAGTACATAAGAGTGCTGCCTTCAGACTACTATTCTGTAGAGTAATATAGGCCCAGCAACTGCGATTTAAAGCCTACGGCCCGTTTTAGATGCATATTCTAATTCCGGCCAATCGCGCTTGCTTTTGTAAGTATACAAGAACGATAGAAGCTTTATACATTCGTTCCACTGAGCTCTGCGACTTGTTTAATTTTTTGATGACACTAGCTATTCTGCGAGCTCAGACTTTACCACTCTGCAGCCAACCAATTGGAGTGAGGATCGACGCTAATGTAAGTCAGGGAAGAAGTTAGCTTGCGTTAGTAACGCCGAATAAAAATTCGGTGTTTCAGGAAATAATGATATTAACGGCAAAGATCTTTATTCCGAAACTGAAGCCGATCCCAATTTAGCTCAGAATCAATTCCGTAATTGAAGTGGAATTTTGTACGACCTACTACAATACACGAATACATTTTGGGAGTCGGTTTTGTACAGTCATCTACGTAGGAGATCAGACAGAGTACAATACAATTTTAGGGCTTTTCTTCATCCAGCATAGAACCTTTATTCCTGCCTGGTTGTCACTGATAAACTAAACCAAATCCATAAAAATAAAAACTTAGGCCTGAAACACATTGCAGTGATCTATAAGTTTGACTCAATATTCTATGGACCAGAGTGGATTTTTCCACCTACCTTGACGTGTTGACTGAATGTCTATGTTGCTCCAACAAATAAGATCATAAAACAGCATTGCTAGCCCAGTTTAATGAAAATTCTTAAATTAATGCTCTCTTTATCGGTAATTAATTAAAACCCTTAATCAGTGGTTTAAGATTGTTTCATCACCTAAATAGCTTTCGAAGAATTTAGCATAATATATTCTCCTTAATGCATACGCAAATAAAATTAATTGCTTACAGAACACTTTGATCATTTCCTGCTGTAGCCAACACACATATGTACAGATATAACAATATTATGTATGTAGTATATCTACATACGTATGGGAATACTTCTATGTTTGTATGCGCATTAAAGTCTTATAACGATTAATTAGTTGCACATAAACAACCATGCTTATATACTTACATATTGACATTAGGGGTGCCCTTTTTTTATTCATAAGTATAATTGGCCCAAATCATAGCACCTGAAATTTTTGCTCTTAAGGGAGAAATCTTTCAGTATGAAATGTTGGAACCTCATGTCAGTATTTTAGTCCGCCCATGTTTAGGAGAAAAATCAAGTCGCACACTAGAAATCGAAAGTGAATCTAACCCGAATCTCATTTAAGCTGCTAAAAAGTACTACTTTCGCCTAATATTTTTCAATTAATTAATTAAACTAAATTTAAATGGCAGTTATCAGTTAATCAGGTTACACAGAGTACAAATTAAAACAGTACATATTACATAGCAGTTTTTTCTCGACATCAAGAAGGCTTTTAATAATTTCTTATTAGAGATTGCCACATCTGTACTCAGAGAAAAAAGTCTCGATTTATAGGTAGTGATTCATGTGAGCTCTCTCTTAGGAAACAGAGAATTTTCTCTGAATCAGGAAAATGTCAGGTATCAGGACGCGGATCCATTTATAGTTATGCTAACAGAGGAACAGAGAGTAGTCGGTGTAGTGAGTGCGATCTGGCTGAAAATCGTACAAAAACCGCACTAGTACTCTTCATCAATAGCTACAAGCTATCTGCTTTCAAATCGCTCTTACTCAAGCGTATCGACATCGCTCTTTCCACTGAGTTTAAATACCTAGGCATAACATAAGATGGCAAACTCACCGTGAACCAGAACACGGATGAATGGAGTAACAAAGCTATGGCCGTCCTCTACGCCTGCAAGGCCGCCCGTCAGTAAAAGATGGGAACTAAGACCATATATAGTATTGTATACTGGCCATACGAAGCGGTAATACCCATAAGACTAGTATTTTTCTGCGAAGTCACTGTTTTGTGGTCAGCACTGGACTATAGTAATAACCGGTTCTAAGATAACAGTTGCGACCATAATGAATGAGATGGCATTGGTTTACATCGACTCTTTTCCGGTAAAAATTCTGATGTACAATTGAAGACGATTCGAAGCCAGGCAGGAGCATGAAGGCTATCACCGAGTACTCATACAAAAAGTGGAAAAAATGTTCTCGACGATGCTCGACTAAAGAAAAATAAATGTTTTTAAAATCCTGCATCATTATTTTGGCATGACTAAGGTCAGTGCAAGGTGGGGGCTCATGTCGTAATAGCGCATAGAGTGTTCTCGTGCATTTTTGGACCTCTGTAATGAAATAAAGGATGGTGTTTTGACTCAACTCGTTATTGGAGATGAAACTCGGGTCTTTTCAATTGTGAATCTAAGTCGAAACCTACCAAGCAGGTTAAGGTGACACAGTCAGCTGTGAAACTGCAGGCAATGGTCATTGGAGACTCAAAAGGAAAATTATTGATGGATTACAAAGTTAGAGTGGTTTTTATGTATAACTAAATTCTTCATACTTCAATATTAGAGTGACTGAAAGAAGTAATTAAAGAAAAAAGACGGGAAAATTGCCGAAATGAGTGCTGATTTTGCAGGACAACGCGACCTTTGTTTTGTTGGCTCTTTTGCATCAGATGGGCTTCGATATTTTGGATTACCCTACAGTCCAGTTCTGGTAGCGAGTGATTATTAATT